CTAACTTGTCGTCCATCTGCTGGAAATCGATGGTTAATTCGTCCAGGAGACCCGGGCTAAGAAGTAGAGTGTTGTCGGCGGAGGAGGGTTGAAAAATTGCCGACTCACGAGGAGGGGCCAAAGGCGGGCAGAAGATGTGAAGTTTCGTTCGGTATAACCTGCCCCATTACCCACATTAGAGGGTCAGTAACTGCGACCCGATCTGCGAAACGTACGGTCGACTCGTTTTCTTCGGAGGCCCGCGCACGACAACAAGAGAAAAAGCCCGTAATCAGCTCGTAAAACATCGGGACATGGGGTGGAGAGAAACCAGGAGCGCTATGGGCCCCAAGACTGCGGAATAAAACGGGGATTAATCACCAATCATGACTAATCAGCGACGTCATCGTCGGATCTGCTGGCAGTGGACTTTGCCCATGTTTGCTAGCGCAAGCTCGCTTGGACCGGAGGTTGACCACCCTCTCTCCTTCGACATCGACACCTGGGAAGACGGCGATTCGCAAGGTCCAGGTCAAAAAGCCGGCACAGGATCAAATATGCAAATGGTCCTTGTAGGGTACTTAGTACAAACTCAGTATGTAAACTTTAAAGGTATGTAATCGAATCTCAAAGGCTCTTCATTCAGATGGGTTTCTAGGCTCGGCCATTTACGTGGTGCGACCGGTACGTTGAAATCCCATATCTGTCTTCTCGATACTCGTATCATGTTTACTCTTACCATCGCCCTCCTTTGCTCGTTACCCGCTTTTGCCAGCTCCCTGGTGCCTCAGAAAAGTGTCGCTTTAGCTGCTTACACCTCAGCATATGTACTGTGGGACAATACTACCACCCATATCACCTCATTTGATATCAACGATGTGATGATGGGGTCTACCGCGTCGACGAATTTCTGGCGGCCTCTCTCCCAGCTGGCACCTCTTCTCCCAGCCTAGCCCAGGAATACAGTTCTCGTAAGTGTTACAACATTCGGTGTTTGGAACAATCTTTTTCGACATTCCTAACCAGTGCCGTTTTATCTGAGTACATACAACTTTAGTAGCATAGGCATTCGTGAATGCCTATTGATGGCGCGAATGCCTATTGCCCAAATGAATGCCTACTACCAATTCAATTCCCCTTTAGGCCATGTGCCTCACTTGCTCATTGTAATCAAAGTGGAATTCATGTAGGTGTTTCTTCATTTGCGGAAGGGGACCAGCCATTCAATGCCCCTCCCCTCCCTCGCTGCGCTCGGGGGGTTCCCCAAGCCGGGGCATTTCAGGTTGGTACACTAAAGCCTTGTTCTGCTTAAATAATGTCCCTTAACCCTCACTCTAACCAACCCGAACCCGAACCCGAACCCTAACCGAACCCTAACTCTAACCTGTATATACCCGCAGTTAGGGCCCGCTCCGCTTTGCCCTAACTGCTCGAAGTGGAATTATTAAGCTAATATAGAGAAATTGATGCCATCATATGCAGTTGATGTGATAGGCATTCGCGCCATCAATAGGCATCCGAATGCCTATGCTACTAAAGTTGTCGTGCCTCGTTTTATCCCGAGATGCAACTCACTGCGGGCAAACACCATGACGGTCAGATTTTGACCGCCACGGTGACGGTTGGTTCACGGTCAAAACCTTGATACCTTGCGTCATCTGTGATGCACCATGAGGTTAATGCATGTTTGATTTCATAACTTGTTCCCTTTTTTACGTAAAGTGCAAGGCAATACGGCTCAAAATATCCTTCGCAGCTCTTGTTCATTTTGAGTGCTGATTTCCCTACCCACGCCGCCCAAAAAGACAACCAGCCTCTTACCCAATTCTACTTAGTACAGTGGGCCCAGTCCGGAGGGGTTGCCGTTTATTTAAGAACAGTCTTCACCTTTGTTCTTACATGCGTCCGCCTCGTGGCCCATCATCAAATACATAATACAGTAAAAATTCAGCCGCTGGGCAACCGTCCAACAACCGTCACCGTGGCGGTCAACATTTGACCGTCACGTCATTTGCCCGCAGTGAGTACTGTACGCCAGGCGACGCAGGGCGTTTGACGGCTGGCTGCTTCCGACAGATCCTCAATCTGTACGTGTTCAGCATCTTACTCATACCTCAGGCCGCCAACTCGACTCATTCACCAGAAACAGCCTACCGCTTTCTCCTGCATTGACCCAGGCCCGTTTCCCATTTTCGCTAGTACGTGGCACACAGGATCAATTTCAACTCAACTTGAATGCGACCTTCCAGATGGTACCTCCTGTAGAGGAAAAGGAGTGAATAGAGAATATCCAAAAGGAGGCAAGACGACCGTTACAATCGATTGGCAATTGGGATGGACCACCACGGCAAGCCTGAATACCACGAGTAAGTGTTTTTTTATATGGGTCAAGTGAGGGTACTGCGGAGCACAAACTGAAAGCTTACACATCCTCCAGCCGCCGCGTCGCTCTCTCCGGGTATCACAACGACAACCGCGTTCACCATTCCCGGCATATCGACACAAACTGTTTTGATACGACAGGCTGGACTCGAGCCTAGCCGTACGCCATGCCCGATGTATTAACTGCGCCTTGAACCTGAGTAGATACATGCGTAAATTCGATGGTTACTGGTATCGCGGGCTGTCAGAGTGCGCTGGATAAAATAAATCGCAAATAATTCAATGTGACGTCCGATGCTTAGAGGGGACGAAATTCCAGAAACCAAAGGCCGGGAGGAAGAAAAAAAAAGTGTCGCGACGCTGGCCAATTCGGGCGAGGGGAGTCACACCCGGCTTGCTCCACAAGGATGGTCGGACGGTCAAATGTGCAGTACAAGAAGGAGCAGTGCGCCGTACACTATACCCCGAGGTACTTGCTTTCACTTGAACCTGGGGAGGTACGTGAGTAAATTTAGTGCTTTTATCGAGGGCTGGAGAGAGTCACTCCGTGCGCCGGATGAAATAAAATAAAAATAATTCCAACAGGACGTACCCGTCCCAGGAACGAAATTGCGGCGATGTGGTGACGAGCAGTCAAGCAGAAAAAAGAAAAAAAAGTCTATGTAGACCCGCGCAAGTCGGGCACGGGGAGTCAAACCCCGGATTTCTCCATCAAGAGATGAGCGAGTGAGGGAGGAGTACCATACCCGATTTCCGTTCAAACCCGGTTTGCTACGTGTGTAAATTTGACACTCCAAGTTGGATGTGATTTGGTGCAGGCTTCCTTAATTCTTGTTTGGATGAAATAAAATAAAAAAGCCCCAATATATTGGAATCAGCGATGACCTACCACCGCAACTAGATGCACGCCTGCTTTTCAGGGAGCGGAAAACCCATTTGGAGCCAAGGGGGGAGGGTTAAAAAAATGCGTTGATATATATACGACTTATTCGGGCCCGGGGAGTCGAACCCCGATCTGCTTCCAAGCAACCTAAAGAACTGTGCAATTGTGAGGAGCTGTGTACCGTACACCATTCCCGATGTTTTCCTATTCGACCTGGAGATGTTAGGTACAAGAGTAAATTCAATAATATACAATGGTGGTATCAAGGCTGCCAGAGAGTTACGAGATATAATGAAATAAAAATAAGTGTGCGTACCGCCGCCGCGCGGTTGAAAGAAGGTGGTCGACGGGCCAGAGGAGGCGATGCGGAGAAAAAGAAGAACAGATATGCTCCAGCTAATTGAGGTGCGGATAATTTTAAATTTCGAGGAACGGATTCGGGGTACGCTGCTCCATGCACTGTAGCGGGCGCAGCCAAATTTACACAACGCGTTTGTTTGTTGTGGGATATGCGGTGCGAGGGAGAAGCAAAGATGAGTGGATAAAAAAGAAAAAGGTTTCCGAAGAATGGGCGATTCGGGCACGGGGAGTCGAACCCCGGTTTGCTCCGCGAGATATCTAACAAATATTACGAGGAGAAGCCGTGGGCCGTGCACCATACCCAGGCTTCATACCATTAAATGAACGTGGCTGGGTGTACATGTGAATAAAAAGCAAAAGGTCTTCAAACGTGAATCGGTCCAGTCATCTGAGGTGTGCTTTAAAAAAAGAAGTGGCGCCGTTCGAAGTCGGACACCGGCCTACTCCACCCACAAGATCAAGAACAGGAGGCGAGTCGTACCATCCCTTGAACCTGTATAGGTAATATTATTAGTAGTAGGGTATGCTCCAACTGTTCATGAAGTGAAATACAAGCAAGTTCCAAAAAAGGAATGCCAAAGTTGACATTGGGTAGACTCGAGGCAGATGCTTTGCGCGCCAACTAAAAATTGATGACAGTGAATCAATACGAAGTCGATCCCGGGTCTGCTCCTGCAACAGTTCTTACCAATGAACGTGAGGAGCCGTACGCCGTGCACCATACCCAAGTTTCATACCTCTGAATGGACGTGGCTGGGTGCGAATAAAAAGCAACAGTTCTCAAACGTGAATATGAATCGGTCCAGGCATCCGAAGTGTGCTTTAGAAAAAGAAGTGACAGTGGTGCCGTGCGAAGTCGGGCACGGCCTGCTCCACCCACAGGATCAAGAGCAGGAGGCGAGTCGTCCCATCCCTTGAACCTGTGTGGATAATAATATTATTATTAGTAGGGTATGCTCCAGCTGTACGTGCATGTGAAATACAAGCAAAAGGAAAGCATTCGGGTACGGGGAGTCAAACCCCGGTCTGCTCCTGCGACACGCAAGGTATGAGACAATTTGTGAGGAGCGGTATACCATACCCGAGTTCCTTGCCATCCTTTGAACCCGAGTGGGTGCGAATCACTTAAAATTCAAGCAACTGGTGCAGCATGAACCGACCAGTGCGCTTCAAAAAAAGAATTCCGACCACGAATTCGGGTACGGGGAGTCGAACCCCGGCATTCTCCATGCATTACAGTGGCCTGTGAAACAGAGGAGCGGTGCGCCGTGCACTATACCCGACATTCCTAACATCCAATGAACTTGGCGGGGTGCAAATAAATTCAAAATTCAAGCAACAGGTTCAGCGTGACCGGTCCAGTGCGCTTCAAAATAAGAATTCTTCTGACCCCAAATTCGGGCACGGGGAGTCGAACCCCGGTCTGCTCCTGCGACATTACTTAACAGGCGTCGTAATGTGAGGAGCCGTGTACCGTGCACCATACCCGAGGCACTTCTCTTCGTTCGGACTTGTGCGTGCGTAAAATTCGAGACAAGTCCCCTGAGCTCACCACACACCGACCTGCATCGTCCCACACGTAAAGGGACCGAAATTTCGAGGGCCGTCAGACTCAGAGTGGAGGTGACGCAAACTTTCCACTGGCATTGAGTATTAGCGCTTCCTCAAACCGGGATGTAGTTAATAACTATGCACGATACCGCCTGAGTACCAACGCAAATGGGCGACGCGGGGAATACTTCTGTCGGAAGAAATATACTTTGGCTCAACGAACGGCTTTGAGCGAGAATTAGTCCCGAGAGCGAGCAAGCGCGCGAATAATGTGAATGTTTCAGCGAGAGCCTAGCGTGCGGACATGATTCCAACCAGCGAGAATATAGAATATCTGGACAGCAAGAACGGGAAGTCCAGCCCCGCGGACGCCGACCTTGAATTCATCGCGCGCGCGCAAGCCCGAAGCAGCAGGGGCAGTTACGACGAGGTGGCCGGTGGGCGCGCGCGTCTCGAGCGCGAAGTGGCATGCACTAGTCGCGCTAACCGTCCATCCTACGTGCCCGTGCCCCACACCTACAGCACACCCCAACGCACACCTAAACCCCCCCCCCCCCCCCCCCCCTCCAAACACCCAAGCCCACCAGCGTCAGCACGCAGCCCATGCCCAGGCCTGTGCCATGACGCTGCGTGGCGCCCGAGGGCGGCGGGGGCGAGCGCTGACGGTGTTGCTGAGCTTGCTGCTGGTGTTCTGGTTCTGGTTCGGCGGCGGCAGAGGCTTGCTGGTGTTGGTGTTGGGCGGGGGCGTGGACACGGGGGACGGGACGACGGGCGCAGAGGAAACCGGCGGGGGCGGGGGCACAGCGGAGGACTGGCCGGGGATGGGGGGCTCGCTGGGGTGTGGGTTATCTTCGTGCGTCGTGTGAGGACATAGGATGTAGAAATACGCACGTTACGCTCGGGTCCTGTGCGATGCCCGCGGGACACTGGGAGCTGCCGCTGGAGAAGGAGCCATCGGCGGGGAAGTAGGTGCACGCGCCGGCGCCTTCGTAGATGCACATAATCTTGTCGGAGTCCTCGCCCGTCGACGGCCGCGCGTCGGTGTTGGGGGTGCAGTCGTCGTCGGTGGCGTGCATTAGATCTGCAGCTGCGTGAGGAGCGAGAGGAGGACGAGGGCGGAAGAGCGCATTGTCGTTAGGTTGTTAGTATCAGAGGAGTGGTACAATGAAAAGTGAGTCGCTCAGACTACAAGGTGTTATGAAGAAGAGAGAGGAAGAGAACAAGACGAGAGAGGGGCGTAGTACACCTGATTGATCGAATGACTAATCGATTGATTGACGAATTGATGGCCCGCCAAGATGCGAGCGAGTTCTGATCGGAAATGGCGCACCAGGGACATTCCTCGGAGGGCCGTCCAGCACCACGACCACCGTCCCACCCACCCATCTGATCATCGCGGAAAAAGAGGTGAGTAAACTAAAGTATTGGATCCCGAGCTCATGTTGAGAGGGAACGAACGGAAATTCCAGTCAGTGGTGGGTGTGGAGAAAAAGAAAGGAAAAGGATATCCATGATGCTGCTAATTCGAGCACGGAGAGTCGAGCCCCGGCTTGCTCCACGACATGGTAGATGTATTACTGCCAGGAGCCGTGCACCGTACACTATACCCGATGTATTCCTACTCGTTTGGACCTGAAGAGGTACGTGAGTAAATTCAATACCTACTGGTATCGAGGGCGTCAATTTGGCGTCGGATAAGACTAAATAGAAATAGTTACAACGTGACATGCCCGTACCACACGTGGAGAGAACAATATTCCGAAGGCTTCTAGAAATGAGGAGGTGACGCGGAGCGAAGCAAAAAAAAAAAAAAAGGAGGCAATATGGGCTGATTCGGGCACGAGGAGTCGAACCCTGGCTTTCTCCATCCATCATGTGAGAGGGGGAGATCACAGTAAATTCAATACTTTACTGGTATCGCGCTGCCAGAGCCCCCATTCGCGGGACGGTTCAGAGCACAATTACCCGAGGCCACGGGCACTTGCTGGCAATCTCGGAGGCATGATTTCTGACGCCGGAGGCTTACTTGGACGTGGCTTCTTCTTTCACGTTCAGCGCTTTTTTAGCTCCCCAGAATGTTCATAGTTCTCAGCTTACAATATACTCATATGCATCTCTCAGTATTTTCCTTTGAATTTCAATGTGTGTTATAGCAGCGTAACAAAGCCAGCAAATTTCCCTTCCTAATCGCCGCAGTGACAGGAACAATCATTAGAGGATGCAATGAGAACGGGTCAGCGCGCAAAGATTCATTGTACTCCTGCAGATTGATATTGGGATCAGACACCTATCTGGTCCGGTTCTTGACAGTGCTGCTGCGGATTGGTGTAAGCTGCGCTCTGAGTGGAGATGGAATCCTTCTGCTGTGATCCCATCTCCCGCGAGAAACTCAGGCGGCAGATGTTATTGATCATCTGCGGATGGCTACACAGCGGCCGCACTCCATGGCCGCATTTCCTTAAAGTGTATCACGGTAAGTGGATTCTTGACTCCGCGTGCCTGGAGTTTGACATGCAATTGACAGTTGATAGAAATCTTGAACTGGACGGCAGCATCCGTCGCATAGATAACACCCACTGAGTTTTGGCTCTGCACTCCTTGATCCCCAGTCATGAAAGTCCCAACACAACTCGAGAGTCTAATCCAGTATACAACAGTGGCAGCTAGCACTGTTGAAGAGATTGCGGGATCATTCCAGATTCCCTTCTTATCCTCAGCCGCAGTGTTGACTTTGTCAATTCTGAAATGTGTGGAGGTAAGTCTGATCTATGGTTAATGAAATACCTTGCTTATGAAGATAAATATAGGTTGTCAAGTCCAACAGGGATGAGTGGATGATAATGGTTGAACAAATCCATGAGATCCTGTGTGCTATCACAAGCTTGTGCTCCACATCGGAAATTAAAGGGGTGCTTTCAACCACACTCTTGTATGACATTGCAAAATTCACTGAGTAAGTTGTCATTGCATTTTTCTGGATGACACACAGTGAGACATTCTGGCAGAACACTTCAGAAGATCTTCACTTTTCTGAAAGCACAGCAGAAAATGGGAAAGATCAAGCAACTGTTCAAGCAGCCTGATAATGCCGGAAAATTGGAGACATGCAAGCAGGAACTCAATAAGGCCATCGAAATCTTCAGGGTACATCTGATGGCGTTGAATCCTAAGGCATTTGTGATCTCATTACTGAAATTCATCCAGGTCAGAGCAGGGGGATCAACACTCTCTCAGATAGGGCATGTGAAAAAGGATGCAAAGCAGCAGCATGACGAGCTTATGGCACTTCTCACTGCCGATCCAGACCTTAGCAGTTCGGATCGTTCCTCCGTTAGTTGTAATTTCAAATCAGACTCCAGTTTTCCAGCTCATGTTTTCATTTAGGTGATTGGGACTCTTTCAAGTTCTGGAAATAGGTCCGTTATTGAGGGGTGTAATAATCCACAGTGGCTGATTTTCACATTAGTTCAGGATCATTTAGTCTGCTCCCGGCATCTCCCAAAATCTTTCATGGCCGTGAATCAGAGCTGAAGGATGTGGTCAATGTACTCCTCCAGAATTCTGCCCGTGTTGCCATCCTGGGTACAGCTGGCATGGGAAAAACCAGTCTAGCTACAGCAGCCCTCCATGATCCACAAGTGGAGGCCAAGTATTCATATCGATACTTTGTTCCATGCAACTCAAGCCCCACTTGCACAGAGCTTGCAGCAACAATTGCAGACCATATTGGATTGGAGAAGGGCTCAAAGATTGCAAAAAAGATTGCACATTACTTTACCCATGCTCCTCCTTCCCTTTTGGTCCTCGATAATCTGGAGACCCCTTGGGAAACCCTTTCATCTCGCTCTGAAGTTGAAGAGTTTCTATCTCTCCTGACTGATATACCCCAATTAGGTCTCATGGTGGGTGATGTTTGTAAGCTTATCAAATAATACCTTGAACTTCCTGTAGATCACGCTGAGAGGTGCTGAGCGACCGAGCAAAGTGAAATGGACCCGCCCCTTCCTTGCCCCTCTTGAGCCACTTTCCAATGTGGCTGCTCGGCAGACCTTCATTGAGGTCGCTGATGAAGGCCATGATGAAACTAGCATCAAAGAACTCCTTGAACTGACAGGACATCTTCCACTTGCAGTCAGCCTGATTGCAAGTGTTGCAGATTCTGAGGGATGTGCCCAAGCACTTTCACGTTGGAAATTGGAGAGTACTCGGATGCTTTCAGAAGGCTATGACCAGAGATCAAGCCTGGACATATCCATCATGTTATCATACACCAGCCCCCGGATGACCTCAGGTGCTCAGGAATTGCTCAGCATTCTGTCCATGCTACCAGATGGCCTTGCAGATGCCGATTTGGTGCAGGCCAAACTGCCAATCCCCGACATTCTGGCCTGCAAGGCCACTCTGATTCAAACAGCCCTTGCATTTGTTGGCCAGGATCAAAATCTCAAAGTTCTGGTTCCCATCCGAGAACACATGCTTAGCACTCATCCTCCTACAAATTCCTTGAAGCTGAAGCTGCGGGAACACTTCCATCAAATTCTTGACCTTTGGAACCAATTCAAGAATCTCAATGTCGCAGATATACTCCCAAAAATCTCACAAAATTTGGGTAACTTCAACACTGTTCTCCTTGATGGGCTTGAATCAGAGGGGCCTGATATTGTGCAGAACTTTAGGAGTATCCTCTTCCTCAATCATTTCTATGATCGGGTTCAAAAAACATATTTACCCCTTTTGCTGCAGCTTTCTGAAAAAATGCTGCATTGGAAAGGCAATCCAATTTTTGGGGAATATCTTGTCCAGCTACTGGAAACTTCGGCATATTTTCCTGACCTGGATCTCAATAGTGACATTGCCCTAGGCACTCAGCATTTCCAATCAAAGGATCCACTGGAACAAGGTAAGACACAACCACTGTCATTGTGTTCACCTGACTAAT